GTTTCCTTCCTTCCTTCCTTGCTTTATTTCTTTTCTTCATTCATTTCTTATTTCATTCCTTCATTCCTTCCTTCCTTCCTTTATTTCTTTTCTTCATTCATTCATTCATTCATTCATTCATTCATTCCTTCCTTCCTTCCTTCCTTCTTAACCTTTTTCCTTCATTAATTTCTTCCTTCTTTCCTTCCTTCCTTCCTTTACTTCCTTCCTCCCTTTATTTTTATTCCTTTCTTTCTTTCTTTCTTTCTTTCTTTCTTTCTTTCTTTCTTTCTTTCTTTCTTTCTTTCTTTCTTCCTTTTTTCTTTTCTTCCTTCTTTCCTTCTTTCCTTTCTTCCTTACTTCCTTCCTTTATTTCTTTCCTTCCTACCTACCTACCTTCACTCACTCATTCATGCATGCATTCATTCATTCATTCATTCATTTATTTATTCATTCATTCATGTATTTCATTATTTCCTTTCTTTCTTCCTTCCTTTCTTTTTTCCATTATTTTTTTCTTTCTTCCTTCCTTCCATCCTTCCTTCCTTCCTTCCTTCAATCCCTCCTTCGTTTTTTCCTTCTTCTTTCATACCTTGCTTCTGTCTTTCTTTCCTTCCTTCCTTCCTTCCTTCTTTCCTTCCTTCCTTCCTTCCTTCCTTCCTTCCTTCTTTCCCCCTTCCTTCCTTTACACCTTGCTTTTGTCCTTTCTTTCTTCATACCTTCCTTCCTTTATTTATTTTTTCTCTCCTTCCTTTTTTCTTTCTTACATTTTTCCTTTCTTCTTTTTTCTTTCTTTCTTTAGTTCAATGATTTTAGGTCACACGTGAGATTTAAATGTTTTGTCTATAATCTATTTATTTCTTAAATCTGCCTTTTGTCTGGAAGTATCTAAACATGCATAAAATTAAGCGTTAAAGCAAAACGGAACAAGATTTACTCATAAAACTAGAAACAGATTGCCAATTAAGACCAATAAGAATAAACTTAACTCCAGAAGTATTCTTTGAAAACAAGACGTATTGTCTTAAACAGTTTAGCAGAACTCAGATCCTCTTCAACTCACACTCTACTTACAACGGTAAAGCATACGTCTGAGTTCCTGTGGGGCATCATTGCATTGATTTCACATTAAAGCACAGCCTTTAATATCCACTCCATGTTGTATTTTTGATGTTATCTGTTGTAATCGTGCTGCACTTGCGTGTTGGTAAAGCTCAATTAGTGTGTACAGAGAACAGTTTGTACATTTAGTCCCGTATGTTTCCTGTCTGCACCTGCTGTTCTTAATGATGTCGATTTGCATAAAGTTGTTTTATCCTCCATAATCAGCTAACAGTGAGAGCGTGCCGACCGCTAGATGCTGTTTGCTTTTTTCTCAGATCATGCTCATCCACTCATCATCGTTCCCCATTTCAAACAGGCCCAGAAACACTCATATCTAAAGTTCCGGTGCCTTCCCAGAGCCCTCTGCCTCACAAGTGCTGTAGACAGCCTGTATTGAGCAGCGTTTGGCTTACTGTGCTTATTTGAGTCGCCACAGTGCAATGAACTGCCAACTATTCTGGCATATGTTTTATGCAGGAGATGCCCTTCCAGCCGCAGCTCATGTTTGGGAAACACCCATACACTCATTCACACATGCACTCATACTACAGCCTATTTCGTTTATTCAATTCACCAATAGCACATGTGTTTGGACTGTGGGGGAAACCTGAGCACTATTATTTATCAATCATATAATGTCACATTGTATAGTCAGTAATGGTATTAATATCATTAATAACTTTGAAATGTCTTGTGCAATGTGTGTCAAACAGAGCAAGACCTTTCCATGTGCTCTTTAGTGCAGAAGAGTCATGTGAACACAACATGTAATTCTACCTTTGCATTTTAGTAGTTCTCCTGCCTAATTTAGTAAAGCCAGCACTGGACTTCCTGTGGGTCAGACAGAGCCAGCCGTCACTCTATCCGCAGGGAAATCACCATTCTCACCCTCCATATATCCATGACCAGAAACACCACAGGTGGATTAGTCACGCCTCGGCTGCTCGTATTTACATTAGCGCTGGATTTCACACCCTGATCTACACTCCACCTCTGTGTCTTACAGTCACACGTTTCAGCTGCTCCAGCCCGCCGCTCAGGGTGGTCCTGCGTACCAACATTTGCACAAGAAAAATGAGCCATGCCTCTTTTACAACTGTAAAAACACAGAACATTGTGCAATTCAATCATGGTTTCCCTCGTGCAAAAAAAAATCAATGAACAAAAAATCGTAAACAGTTTATTCATCAATACACAGCATGAAATAGTGTTAAAATATTACAATACATGTATAAATGAATAATCAAATTTAGTAAGATTTAATATCTAGAGTAATTGGTATTAAATAGATGATACAATACTGCACACAGTTAAAGTCAGAATTATTAGCCCACCGAATTGTTATTTAGACTGAGAATATTATTTTGGTAACACTTTACAGTATGGTTCATTAATTAATGCATTTTCTAACATGAATTAATCATGAACAACACATGTACAGCATTTATTAATCATAATTGAACATTTACTAATGCATTATTAACATCCAAGTCCATGCTTGTTAACATTAGTTAATGCACCATGAGTTAACATGAACTAACAATGAACTACTGTATTTTCATTAACTAACATTTACTAACATGAACAAATACTGTAGTAAATGTATTGTTCATTGTTTGTTCATGTTAGTAAATGCATTAATTAACATTAACTAATGAACCTTATTGTAAAGTGTGACCATTATTTTAAATCAAGAAGAGTTCAGACATAAATATTTGTGGAATAACCCTGACTTTTAATGAAAACTTTTATTTTTCTGTCTTGTTTCAGTTCTTTCTTTACATACATGTAGGAACATTCAATATTTGTACACGATTATGAATAAAAATATATAAAAGTGTTTATTTAGCAACATGTCATTATTTTGATTTGTAAAATCTCACTTTATGCCGATCATTTTTCACGATTGTAACAAGACATCCAAATCTTCCCTATATATATATATATATATATATATATATATATATATATACGGTCACCAGCGATCTAGCCACCAGAGATCGCTGGAAAGCATTCACACTTACATAGGACTACAAATCTGCTGGTAAATGGACTACAAGAACCAGTCATGCACCACACACACACATACACACACACAACTGGTTTCTGATCCTGACTGATTGCACACATTCAGGTGATACTGCTCATGTACTGATTACACACACACATTTATAAAGCTCACTTTAAGACATTCATGGCTGTGTCTTGTTATCTGTTGTAATGACGTTACAACACGTTTCCTTTGTCTACTTTACCTTGTTTTTGATCCTTATCTGTTCATTTGTTTAATCCTGTTATGCTGCTTTTAAATATATATAT